CAGCTGCCAGCCCTGCTGCCTCCTCAGGATCCTGCCTTGCTTTTTCCCACCTTCTGCTGGGACGATGCCCCGGATCATCACTCGCATCCCTCATGCCCATCCTCTTCGCTCCCTTTAAACCCAAGCTGAGACCTCACACTCTGCTCCCACTGGCACAGCAGCCTGCTGGGTTTCTCTGATCCCAGGCACGAGCCCGGAGTGCCCCAGAACATACCTGGATCTGTCCCTTGCCCATGATCTTGTCCACGATTTCATTGTTGTCCTTGTTGAGCTTGGTCTTGTCGTAGCATTTCTCGTAGCACAGGATCCGCAGGGACTGGGAGCCCTCCAGCTCAATCTCAAACTCCTGCGGGGCAGAGGGAGGAAGGTTCAGCCCCAGAACGGCTTACAAACTGCATCTGGAAGGGAGAGGGCAGCACAGCCCCTTTCCTGCATCCCGCTGCCTCCTCTCACCTCATTCCACTGCGGCTCAGTTGTGTCCCGAAAAACCCTCGTCTTGGCTTTGCTGACGAAGTAGCCGAACGAGTCCACTTCCAGCGTGCAGTAAAGGTCTGGGAAAGAAGACACAGCTGAGTGACATCTCCTGGCAGTTGCACAGGGGACATCAGCACCAAGCTCCCAGGACCTATTTGGCCTTTTTCCTTTCCCATGGGGCTGCTGAGTAGAGAACAGGGCCCCAGGTTGGAGCTGAGATCACGAGGGTCCCTCCGAGCCAGCCCCTGGCCACCCTCACTTACTGGCAGATTGCTTGAAGCCCTTGGCAGAGTGGACAATGACGTGCAGGAACCCATAGAGCCCGGGGGACTCGTCATCTGCAACAGAGGGAACAGAAGGATGTTATTAGGACTGCAGATTCAGTCTCCAGCACCCCCAGCACTAGGACAGCCCCAGGACAGACTTTCTCATAGCAAGCCCCAGCTCTAAGCACTGAGATGTTGGGGACATTGTAGTGACAGAGACATCACAGTGTCTCCACCCGCTGTGGAGGGTGCCCCCAAACACTGGGAAAGGTCAAGTCCCTTGCTGTTGGGCAGCCCGAGGGAACATTCGCAGTAGGACTGGCTGGTCTTGCTCTGGGGACACCCTGGTCCTGCCCAGCTTGTGGAGATGCTGGAGAGACCCCAAAACCAGGCAGGGAGTAGAGATCCTGGTGATGTTGGGACACTGTCTCTGCCCCACCAGTGCCACCTGGTGGGTACATGTCCCCAGCACAGCCTGGACAGCCTGCAGAGAGCCCCTGCTCCACGCGAGGGACCTGGCCAGCCCCAGGCCGTGCTGCGTGGGGACACTGGGCTCCCCAAGGAGAGGCAAATTGCCCAGAGGGAAAGGGGGGCCTCCAGGCCAGTGAACACTCACCGTCCTTATTACTGGTGACTGGGATGTTGTGGACAGTGCGCAGCTTGAAGCAGGATCCCGTGAGCACCTGCAGCTCCACGGAGCTCAGGACGAAGGCCTGGAGGTCTGCGGGAGGGCAGGCAGGGAACGTGAGCAGGACACAGCCAGCGCTGTCCCCGGGGGGTCAGACGGCAGCAGGCTGCAATCCCGCAGGGCCACCCGCAGCTCATGGGACCTGGGAGCTGCTGCAGCTCCCGTGGGCATCAGGAACCCCCGGCAGGGCTTAGAATCCCTGACTTACCCTTTTTCTGCAGTTTCTGAATGGCCTCTCTCCACTCAGACCTCTCGTAGTCAGACGATAACAGGAACAGGTAGCTCTGGAAGAGAAAGGGTGATGCAGAAAGCAGTGAACGGACAGGGCTGTGAGCAGAGCTCCATGCTGGCAGAAATCCCAGCACTGATGGGTGGTTGGGAGAGAAGTGCAGCTGCTGCTCCACACACCTGAGCCCTGCTGGGACCCTCCAAACAGCAGCTGAGAGGGGCAAGACTTGGCTCTCCCCGGCCAGCGCAGCACAACGCAGTCCCACCACCCCACTGGCTGCCTCCTGCCCGCCCTCCTCACCTTGCCGTTGCGGTTGTGGATGCGGAAGGGAATGGCGGGAGAGTTCAGCAGCAGCCAGAATTCGTTCTCAAACATCTTCTTCTTGAGGCGCTCGATGGCCCGGCTCTGCCCCTTGTTGGCTTTCTGCAGGCAGGGGGAGGACAGAGCGTCTGGGTCGGCCAGGGACACACGGGTGAGACTCCCCAGGTGCTCCCATCTCCCGTGTGTCCCATACCCAGGATGGGGCATCAGCTGCCCATCCGCAATCCCCCACTAGGGCACAGTCCAGCCCCATGGGCATCCCAGCGCATGGCCCAAGTCTGCACCAAGAGCCAGCCCCACACACCCCCACATTAGAGGTCCCCATGTCCTCCCTGGCCCCCTGCACCCTCCTCTCACCTCCTTCTGCACCTCGCTCTTGATGGCTGAGATTTTCATCTTCATGTCCTCCAGCTCGTGATCAGGGATAACATGGACCTGCGGGCAGTGCTCCGACTCCTCGGGCGATGGGAACACCAGGTCAGCCAGGGGCACGTACCACTTGCAGTCGTACTGCTGGTGCTTCCTGCAGCCGAGAGGCAGGGGCTGAGCGTTGCCCCCCGGCCCCTGCCCCATCCTCCTGCCTTCCCCGTCTCCTGGAGACACCCTTCATCCTGCCCGGGGACAGGGCATGCAGCTCACACACCCAAGCCCAGGGCCCTCCTTACCCCACTGCCGTCTTCTTCAGCTTGGCACAGAGCAAGACGTCGGTGAAGAGGAAGACGTGTCGCAGCTTCCGCGAGCCCTCCGACAGCTCCACCAAGAACCCATCCTTGATCAGCTGCCGGGTCTGCAGGGAAGCAGGGCTGGCATGAGAGTGGGCAGAGAGCAAAGGCGAACACACCGCAGAGCAGGGACATCCTGTGTCACTCTGCAGCTTGGCCAACAGCAGCACGTGAAGGTCCGTGTCCCTGCATGCCACGATGGCCCCTTGTTCTCAGTACGGTGCCAGCAAGCAGCAAGGACCAGACACAGCCCCAACCCCACACGCTGGGGCTGTGTCAAGAGGACCTCTCTCCACTCCCCGGCCAAGCACCGTGCGGTGGCTCAGAGCAGGGACCCAATCCAGGAGCCTGCAGAGAGCTTGGCCGTCACCCCCACCCAGGCGCTGCCCTCCCTGCCTGCCTCACCTCCCCCTTGGGGGTGGTGACCGCTGTCCTCCGGGGATCGATGTCCTCATTGATGCTGGAGAGGAAGTTCTGGGAGATGCGGAGGGCATCCTGGAGCAGCGGGTAGTCGGGGTGGTCGGCGGGGGTGTGCTTGAGGAGGTCCTGGAAGAGCAGAGCCGCACATGAGCGGGCCCAGCTGCTCCCAGAGGACTCAGGCACCGGTCCTCAGGACACCGACAGCTCCCAATGAAGAAGCTGCCAAGTGATCATCTCCCGGGAGTTATGGGACCCAGGCAGAGCCCGCCAGAGGGACAACATGGCCACCTCAAACCTACTCCATGCCAGGCAAGGCCATGGCAGCCCCCGTACGCAGGGGAGCGTAGCCTCCACCGGCTGTTTTGCCCCACAACATCCGTGTCCCCCCTCCACCTCCGGGCTGGTGTCACACTCACATGCAGGACAAGGGTGCTCCGGGTCACACGGTCAATGGGTTTGTACAGCAGCGCTGCAGGGAGACACAGGGAGACATCAGCAGCCGCCCAACCAGCGCCTCGTCCCTGCCCCGGAGCCAGGGGCCCGCAAAGGCCGGGCTGTCCCTGCCGGCCCCGGCCCCGCTGTGCTGGGATCAGCCGCGGCCAGGTGGGACAGCAGAGCGGGCAGCATGGCGCAAACGGGGCGCCCCGCTCTGTGGCTCAGCGCTGGTGACAGCACCTTGACGCCCACCCGTGCCGCGGGTGCTGAGTGAATGCGCTGGGCAGGTTTCCTTCCTCATGGACTGCAAAGCCAGAGGGCCTCCATCATCATCATCACCACCATCATCACCATCAACACTGCTCTGCCCTATTTCACGCTGGCCACGGGACATCCCAGCCGCAGTCCCCTCTGGAGAAGCAGCTTTGGAGCGTGGAGCCGCCGGCGCCCGC